GGCGAGAGAGTGGTTGACACATGATATATAATATATGGTGTATTTCTATATTGAACATGGTGTTATGGTGAATGTGCATGGGGGACAATGGGGGACAAGGAAGTGAACATTATTGTAGTGATTGTTATTTAGTTGATACACTCATCCTGTAATGTATCTTATTGCGGCCTCACTTTTCCATGCCTAGAAGCGACCGTGCGTGTGCATGCCAAGGTGTTTGGTCAGCCTGATAATGAGGGTTGGGACAAGGACGCAGAGGGGAAGGCGCATTTGGCGGGCCTGCATTGTGGAAATCATAGGTGGTGACCCATTTTTGCTCATTAAAAAGCTCATTGCCAGCCAATTCAGATGGTAGGCACATTCTTGTGCTAATAAACTAATTTGCTAATAGTTGCGCCTTTGGTGGAATTCAAACAATAAGCGGCATTGAGGGAATACCCTCCAAAGTCCTACTTTCCATATCCAAGGACAAGGAAAGTATTGGACATGCCATTTTGGGGGCACAATTTCAAGGTGCTATTATTTAGGTCATTTTGGGAAGTGGGAGCTTTAGGCCTTAAGGTTTCCAAGGGAAAGTCCTTGCTTTGGATTCCTCATGGCACTTGGAGGCTTCTCCTTTCCCTTAAAGTACTAAAAGGGGACTATAGATGATTACTAGGATCATTGGAAATGTTCCCCCTCGGCTCCGGTACATGGGAGAGGAGCTGGGGCTGATTCAGCCCTATGTAGAATAGCCTAAAGCCACGGAAGCTTCCTGGCTTGATGGAATTATAAAAGTGGTATACATGCGCTACTCTATAATTCCATTTTCTGTTTCTCGCATTCGTGACTGATCCTTGCCCACTCCGGGCGTGCCCCCTCCGCGGCGCGCCCCACCTCGCTGACAGCACACCATATTGCCTCATCCGAGGCTCCCCGCGGGCTGCGTACATTGGGCCCACCATACGGAATGAACAAACGAGCGCCCCGACTATGCGCACCCGGCTGGTGCCTCTGAGCCGGGTGCAGAGGGATCGATGCCCGAGGCGTCTCCTCACCAGGCGACTACGAACGACCGAGGAGTGGAGCGGCCCGATCCCGGGCGGAATGCGGCAGAGATTGGAGTACCACGCAAGGCTGCTCCGGATTGCTGAGGACACTAGGAATGAGTGGGTGGAGACAATCCACTTCGGGGAGCTTCGCACGGAGACAATCGAGGGGGTCAAGCAAGTCTTGGTGGAATATAAGGACTGCTTCACACTATCATTTGTGGATATGGAGAGAACCCCCTTCATGAAGTTTTATATTGAGCTAAAGCTGGGAAGTCGTCTGAGTCACTGCAGCCGACTAAGGAGGTTCGCCCCATGGTAATTACGATTTCTGCGAAGTCAGCTGGATTCGCTGCTCAAGGCAGGGTTCGTGCGTGAATGGCCACACGAGACTGAGTGGCTCGCAAGGGCCACCTTGCCTCCAAAGAAGGGAGAACTGCGGTTTTGCTGTACGTACGTGGGTTTAGACCGCGCGACCAAGCCTATTCATTATCCATTGCCGCGAGTGGACAATGTGTTGGAAAACCTTGCGGGAGCCCCATTGTACTTGATGGTGGACGGTTTCAGTAAGTATTACTCGCTGAAACTGAATGAGGAATTGATTCCTCTGACGGCATTCCTCACACCCTTCGGAGTTTTCGTGTGGACGGTCCTTCCATTTGGGGTGTGCAATAGACCCCCACGATACACGCGAGTGCTGGACACGGCTTACGGTAACTTGGAGTGGGTCAGGATATCCGTCGATGATAGAGGGCTGACGCACTTGGAGGAAGGAGGCCTGATTTTTGATATGCGATGCTTCCTTTCAAGAACCCACGAGTATAAGTTGAAGCTAAGACCTAAGAAGAACTATATCAAGTTTTGCAAATTGGAGTTTCTTGGACATTAACTTTCAGAGCAGGGAATTGGAACCACCACTAAGAAGGTGAGAAGCGTGTGTGCTTTCCGGCGGCCAGAAAAAATAAGGGGCAGTTGCTGGCGTTCCTTGGAATGGCGGGATATTACCGCCAGTTCATTCGGGACTTTGGGAAGATCGCACACCCGTTGAATGAGTTAAGTCATAGACTGGGCATCTCTAGCGAGATTGGGGAGCGCGAGTGGAGGGAGGAGCAGGCTCACACTTTTAAAACCTTGAAGCAGCGGCTGTCACGGGCCCCGGTGCTGTCGAAACCGGACTTCGAGCGCGATTTCACTCTGGACACAGATGCAAGTCAAAATGCTATTGGAGCTGCGTTGTCACAAGAGGGAGCAGAAGAAGGACATCCGGTTTTCTTCCATCCCTGGATCCTTTCCCCGGCCGAGCGGAATTACTGTATACCGAAAAATTTTCGCGGGAGAAAAATTTTCGCGCATTTCGCGGTCGAGCCAGTGCGCGAAAATATTTCTCCGCGAAAATTTTGGTCCCGCGAACTTTTTTCGCCCGCGAACTTGTTGGCACCCCTCAGGGGTGGGTCAGGCGCTGGGCGTGCAGTTTGACCTCTTGGCTTTGCGCTGCGGCTTGTGGCCCCCGCCGAGCGGCAAAGAAGCCCCGAACTAGCCAGCGGGGGGGTCGCAGGGCAGTGGCCATCGGCTGGCCGAGTCTCCATGGAGCCCACAAGTTTTTGGGAGCATTTCGAGGGCACAGGCGCAGTGTGGCTTGCAAAGCGATCGGCGACCGAATCTGTGCCTGCATCGAGCCTGTCGAACGTGCAAGGAGCATGCCCTGGGGATGGCCCACAGGGTGGCTCTGGATGCGGCACGAATGCTGCGGCGCATGTCGCCTTTCATGGGCACCCATTCCCACCATCGGCGGGTGCCATTTCAGGCGACCGCGGGTGATAGGAATGGGCGTCTGCAAGGCGCCATTCCTGCTGTGCCTCTTGCGCTTCGCGGGCGCCCATTCGCGTCGCCTGCGGAGGCCGTTCCAGGCCACCGCGGAGGGCGCGAATGGGCAGGCGAATGAGGGCGCGCCTATCGGCTGGCCATTCGCACCACCGACCGGGGCGATTCAAGGCAGCGCGGGCGGCGCGACTGTGCGCCCGCGAGGCGCTTATCTTGCGGCACATCTAGCTCCTCGGGCTGGCGCCCACCCGGGACACCGGCGGGGCCCATCCTAGGCCACCGCGGGCGGCGCGAATGGGCGGCCGTGAGGCACCAATGCGGGCGCTCCTCCAAGGCCTCGCGGGTGGCCACTCGGGCAGGCCCTGCTGGTCGCCCACTACGCCAAAGGACCCTTAGTTTGCTGGGCCTCCGAGCGGGCTACAGCCAAGGCGGGCACCCGCTGGTACCCCAGGTCGTGCAGCGACAAAGTTCGCGCAGCAGAAATTTTCGCGGGGAAAAAAGTTCGCGGGAGAAAAATTTTCGCGCACCGACGAGTGCGCGAAAATATTTCTCCGCGAATTTTTTTTCCCGCAAAATACGCAAAATTTTTTCTCCGCGAAAATTTTTCGGTATACAGTACTCAACGATAGAGCGGGAGTGCTTCGTGATTGTGTCCGCGATGGTCAAATTTCGGCCCTATGTGCTGGGCAATAAGAGTACAGTCCGAACCGACCATCGCCCCATCTTAGGGTTATTACAACGGATGGATCTCACCGGTCGGGCTGCACGATGGAAGTGCATTTTAAGTGAGTATGACGTCGTTCTGGAGGCTCGGAAAGGGAAGGCGCATGCAAATGCAGATGGTTTGTCCCACATGCCAGGCACCCGTGTGACTGGGGCGGAAGATAACGCAAGCGGGGATGATGACTTGGGATTTAGGGCTGACAGAGAAGGAGGGAGCAATTGGGTAGATCGGGATCGATTGGGTGGATCGGTTTCTGGGCTCCCCTTGGTATAGTGAGGAAATAGGCGAGTTGTGCGTGAACGGACAGTTTCGAATGGACGGGAGTCGGCTGCTCCGGCGGGGTTTGGATAGGATGTGGCAATTGTGTGTACTGGAGGAGGAGGAGGTGGGTCAAGTCTTGGAGAAGACTCATGATTCCGCCGCTGGTGGGCACTACAAGGCCCGCAATACATTGCGAAGGATCAAGCGCCAGTTTTGGTGGCCGACCATGGAGCGCGATGTCAAAATTTGGGTGGCGCATTACACCGTCGGGTGCCAACTTTTCTGTGACCCTAGTGATATTTTGGCAGCATACATGCATGGAGGTCGGAAGTTGCTCTATCTCCTTAGAGAATGCGTGGGTTAAGTGCTCAAGGTGTGGATTCGTGAGCATAGGTTCACTAGAATGGCCATTTTGGAAGGTGTACAGTGACTAATTAGCGATTTGCTTGTGTTGGGGAGCTCGTTGCCACGCATGTCGATTGTTGGAATGGAATTCGTCATGGGTATAGTGGAGATGCTCGCAAAATGCTTGAAAGCGTTAGATGCCATTTGTGTTGGCAATGGCCATAGCCGGGTCTGCCATGGGTGTTGATCCGGTGAAGTTGGCTTGTATGGTTAGACACATGGAGTTGTTCCTTCATGTGTTCATTTGTTTCTTAAATATCAACATCACCACTGCCATTTTTTGTGCAAAGGGGCGGTTTTTGCATAAGCCAAAGGATGATGATGCACTTTCCAGCAAGAAACTATCAAGTTTGATGCATATTTTGGGATTGTGTTAATGTAAATAGTCCTACCCTCAAATTGTAGTTTATCTCACAAGTTTGGGGTCGGGTAAAGGGTACACACTGGCTACTGAAGAGGCCACAACCTTGAAAGTTATGTTGCTAATCGCGTGGCGCAGGGATGCGTCATGCACAATCATGCCACCGCGCTCCACCTCACGTGCCAACGTGTCATGCCGTGGCACTACGCTGGCGTGTGTCTACATAGGCCCTGCGGCCGCGCAAGCGTGGGCGGGTGGCGAACGTGCTGGACGGCTCGTGCCGCCGGCTCGCAAGAGACTCTCGTTGCTGTCGCCGGGTTGCATCGGAGTCCCCCCCCCCCTTGAATCGAGCCGCATCGCCATCTGGGGACATCTGGGGACGAGGATGAGCGTCAGCGTGATGTCGGGTTCGACGCACAATCTGGCTGCGCTGCTGGACGCGTCGACGACCGGAGCTCATGCCTCTTCGAGGACTTCTACCGACGGCGGAGATCGGATGCGTAGGTGTGCTGTTGAACAAGGAGCGAAGAACTGTGGGCGGAGGGGAGCACGTGGGAATCCGTGGATTGGGCCCATTGCTTGCTTTCCAATCGCAGTTTTCTTTGTTTGTTGTTTGCGTGTCCGGTGACATGTCGGAATGCTAAGGCGGGAGTGGTAAGCCGAGCTGGAGGTCTTCGTGGGGCTTGCTTTTTGCTGCATGATGGCTGCAAATAGAGATACGCAAAGTTGCATTCTCTGTCGATACATACCCACAAAAGGAGTGGACTGTACACCTGAAAATTGGGGAGGTCGTCTTTCTGGCCACGTCGCGTGGTGGTTTCTGGTCCTTTTATATCTTTTGAGTTACCTCAATCAGTCATCGTCGCAATTTGCGACATGAAACCAGAAGCTGGGGCTGTGTGCAGAAATCCCCTGTGGACAAATCGATACAATAAGATTGAAATGTTGTATAAGACGAAAACGCTTGCGAAGTCCACCCCACTGTGCCCATTGGAAGAAAAGAGGAAGCCGGTGCTTTCCCAGGGCCAATCAACGCCTTGTCATAGTAGTTTGAAATACCTTCCAGACTTGGCTCATTCACTTTTGTTATGCCTGTGGGCTGAGTGCAGGGTCATCATCGTTGCAAACAATCTGCCTGTTAAGGCGAAGCCTCACCCTCATGGGGGCTGGGCATTTGAGTGGGATGACGATGCATTGATTCTACAAGCCAAGGTAGTGCTAACAACAGTGTGTGTCACAATTGTCACAAACACACAGTTGTGGTATATCGGGGCCTGGAGCAACAATGCTTATTGACTAATGTGGTGGGCAGCAGAGCAACCCTAGCATTGTTCTAGGCACTGTGCCTTAAACTGATGACAATTAACACTTGCAGTACATCCAGGACTGGTGTCAACGAGTTCATTGAGGCAAATTCACAAGTATTTACAGCATTCAGCTTGCAGCGCTATAGGGCCACCATTGGCAAAAATGAAATCGGAAGCAGTGCGCATGCTTGAGAACCACAAGCATGCACCCTGGGGTTTATCGCGCAACCTAAAACGAAACTCAACACTGTCTGCAGAACATGGCCAATGAAGTAGTCCACTTAAACTTAAAACAAAATAAAACCGAACTGCGTGTTCCCTGCAGCAGCATGCAATCATAGCGAAATGTATATGTGTGTGTACTGTTGCTTCTTGACGATAAGTTTAATTCCAGTTGAGAGAACACTGGCCAGCTTTCCCACAAGCAGATGAACAGTACTTGCTTGTGCTGCCATGTTCAATGTCTGAGTCCAGGTGTCAATGGCAGCAGTGTTTGATAAAGGACTGAATTGTTGGTTCAGCAAACAATAGGGAAAGATTGGGCCATATGGCTAAATCGTGGGGCCTCGGGTGGTACAGTATTTGTTGCTGCAAATTCAGGACATTGCAGGTCAACACAAGAGACGAAATTGATCATTCGCAACCTCCATTGGTTTGGCACGATCCCATTAAACTTTGATTGTGTTGATGTTTTGTATAGGATGGGATTGACCAATCCTTGGAGGTTTTGTATGTGGGGGGCCTGTCTGTGGAAATCGCAACTGCTGATCAGGAGGTATGTGGGTAACCTGAGTGGACACCTTCATGCTTACTAGTGTACTGGTGCTTTTGCTGGGGATGCTTCTTTTATGGCTGCCACTCTGTCGCCAAGAGAGAGCTGCTGGGATGGTATGCGACCTGGGCATTGCAATCCTTCTTGCATAGTTTGGACCCTGGATTGCTGCTGTTTGAGTTGACACAACAGCGCAGAAGCTGCTATTTTCTCAGTAGGCAGTCGCCTTGGCCCCAGTGAAAAAATCTACTGCACCTTGCAATTTCCGCGGAGACACCTTGTTTGCCCCGATGGTGATGCGAGTCAGTTTTCACAATTGTCTGTATTCAAATGTCAACTAGCAATTGGGTACCAGTACCAAGAGTAAAAGGGCGGTGTTGTGAAAACCCATGGCTGCCAATCAATCCAGGTGGGGGTTGCAGGATGCTTCAATAGCAAATGCTACACAGCACATGTTGCTTTGTTGCTTTGTGGCCTTGCAGCTATTTTCTGTTTTGAATGTCATGGGTTGAAAAAAAATTGTGTACAGGCAGTGGCCTCCAGACTTGCACGTTTGCAGTGTGTGCCTGTGTTCCTGAAGAGGGAGCTAAAAGAGAAGTTCTATAAAGGTGTGGTCTCCAGGAGAGCGAGTGACACAATCTTGCGACTGATGAATGAGCTGTACAGGGTTTGCCCTGTGCTGTTGAGGTGGGAGTGTTGCATCTGTACAGTCCGATTATTATGAAGATTACTGCATTGCTGCATGAAACGCCATGATGCAGACGGACGATAGGGCTCTCCTTTCTTTTCTTTCCTGCGAGCAAGCCCTGGGCCATCATTTCAGTTGTCAGTGGCCATGATTGAATTGTCCTGCTCAAGACCAGTGCAAGGCAATTGCACAGGCAGATGTTGTAGGTTAGTGTAACTCACAGAGCAAATGCCTGTCAAATTCGTTGTGCGCTCAAGCGATCCCATCTTCAAACTTTTGTCTCTTGATGAATGGCGTGTTTGGTTGGCATTCAGGTTGCTGCAAGCAGCAATTGTGGCCATTGTTCCACTACGTTCTGCCAACTGCACCTTTGTGCACCCAGCGCTTTGACTTAGACATGTGGCAAGCCTACAAGCAAGCAAACATGGTGAGCTACCATCATGCGCCACTCAAACACACAAATTGCTGTCACCCAATCTGCAACTTTTGATATGTCCGTTGACACAGAAACATGTGTGGCCATGTTTCATTGTTCCCAAAGAGCGTACGCTGACTGTGGGCACTTTGGCACAAGGAGTGCTGTGGAATTGTCAAAAGCCAACCTGAAAACTGGGAATTGATTGTTTGGATTTGGTTTTCTACAGGGCACAGTTGTATTTGGTGCATCTTTGGACCATACCACTGAATTCTGACGATGTGGGAGAAGGTCGATGATAATTATAAACCGAGTCTTCTGCAGCGCATGCATGCACGCACGCATCCTGTGTCTGCTTTTGTGCTTCATCACTGTTGTTGTGCGTGCAATTATCTGAACATGACATGTCACTGCCATAGCACCTGAGGTGCTGTTGAGCGCTTCTGTCGTCACATGGACAAATGTTTCCTGAACGATTGCTGCACTGCTCTTTCGAGTGCTTCTGATGTTGTTTGCCGCTGAGCAGCCCCTGAGCACTGCCAGCAAGGAATGCTATTGGCAAAGATTGGCCAGGTTACACGATAGACTTCCATGTTTGACTGTGGACCAAATCGCTTCATCTTCGCTGCTTGTTGTTGCCATTTTTGCAAGTGGTTGCCATAAACAAGCCGCGTTGTGTGTTGTGTGCAGGTATTCGCCCAACAAGTCATTTCTGTGCTGGCCTCAAGAAAGAACTATGTCTGGATACACGATTACCATTTGTTGGTTCTGCCATCATTGTTGAGGATGAAGATAGGAAACATTCGCTGTGGGCTTTTCTTGCACTCACCCTTCCCATCATCTGAGATTTTCAGAACACACCCCATGAGAGAAGACATTCTGCGGTCGTTGCTGAACGCTGACCTTGTTGGTGAGTGGCAGGAGGATGTTGGGAGGTTTGGGTGAGGCGCACCAGTGCCCCTTCCAATTTCATTGATCGATTGATCCCAGTTTGTTATTCCGACAGTTTGACCATGCATATGTCTCACCATTCTTCTCAATAGTCAACACGCACTGACTGACGTGTAAATACCACTGTACTCCTGCTGTTGCTATGTGCCACAGGTAGGAAATTCTCATTACAATATGCCTTGCACACCTGGATACGAAGGGCAGCCATTGGTGGTTGCAAATATCTATGCTTCTGATCAGAATGTGTGTCTCAGGCATCAATTGTCTATGCTGAGGATGAGAGTGTCTGCTCCACCATCTTGCGTTACATGGCCAAGCAATGTTGGCAAACAATGTTGCAACAACAACAGCTGTTGGTCGATTTTGCCTCTCGGCCTAGCAGCTGCTTTGAACAGAAAAGCTAGTGGAGAGTAGTTAGGGAGGGATAGTGTACATTATTGTGTGTCCATTTGATTTGAAACTGCTGTTTGTGCTGTCGATCAAGGCTTCCACACGTTTGACTACGCTCGGCATTTTCTGTCGTGCTGTTCACGGTTGCTAGGCCTGGAACATCGCACATCAAGGGGCGCTCTTGGTTTGGAGTACTGCGGGAGATATGTGGGAATCAAGATTATGCCAACAGGTATGATTTGGACTCCAGTGAACCATGAAGAGCGGACCGAATGGCTGCCATATGCATGGTTTTTGCAATACAAACAACTAGTTGACAGGATTGTGAATAGCATTGGAATCAGCTGTCTTCCTGCTCAACAAGACTTATTTAAACACCAGTACAGAGTGCAACATTAGGTTGTGACAGTTCAGGCACTGAATGCTTTGTTTGCACTTGAATGTGCACATAACCTGAACTGAGCAAAGTGGCAAACCATGTGGAAGTTTGCAGCCCACCAGCTGATGCAGGACATGCTGTTCTGTGTGTACCACAAGTTTTGTGGCTCTACATGCAGCATGAAGTGTAAAGTTGTCTGTACTGGAAGCAAGCAGGCCACTGATGTCGATGCCATGCACAGCATTTGCAAAATGCGCTAATGAGAAGCCACCTAGCCAACAGTCCACGGTCCTTTACTGCTGCTGTGTGGTTGCATTCTTCAACATCTCGTTCCCACTGGATTGTGACCTTATGTAGCGCGCAGGTGTAAATCCTGAACGGCTATTGATGGGCATGAAATGGAAAGAAACACAGTGGCGGCGTGGACAGCTGCTAGCTGAGTTCAAGGGCATGAAGGTTTTGATCGGTGTGGATGACATGGACACCTTCAAAGGAATCGACCTGAAACTCTTCGCATACCGCCAGTTTTTGGAAAGTCATCCCGAGTGGAGGGAGAGAGTTGTGTTGGTTCAGGTAGCTGTACATTACTGACATATGGTATCAGTTGCAACTGCTCCCTGGGCATGATCGGGTTATGTGTGCTTGGGTAAGTTTCATATGATTGCTATCTGTCAAATGTTCTCCAATGCCCAAACAGCTGCATGACAACAAGAGACAATGCGTCAATTTTGGGCCGTCCGCAGCGGGCTTACAAATATGAAGACAAGAACCAAAAGATTGAATCAATCATGTGCAGGGGAGCCAGAACACATATTTGCCTCATCTGGTCTGCATGTGGCCGAAGATATGTTGCCAGACCATCAGCAACGCTGCCTGCTGCAACTTTTTCTGGATCATTGATAGGCACATTTCTGAACACCCTCGTGGAAAACTACTTCAAAAACTCTCAGCCATGTATTTTGGAACATGCACATTCCATGTGCAAGTCTCTGCAACACACGGTTAGGAATTGAATTGTGTGCAATTCTGGCCAAAGACATGCCTCATTCAAGTTTGCCATCACAGCACTGCTCATATACCGCAGCATATGAGCTGCACTATCCCAGACCTGCTTACTATAAAGAAAGGTGTAGTATTGACTCAACTGTTCAATGTAAGTTCTTTCAAATTCCAGCAATGAAAACTCAATATGGAAATCAGTTGGAGAATGCGAACTCAACTTACGTACTTACTTGTGTCGAACTCAGATACTTTGTTTTTGCCGGTGAACAGATTGCGAACCCTGTCCGCCAAAGCGGCCCTGAAATCCAAGATCTGCTAAAATGTGTGAACGTGCTGGTTGATGGGATCAACAAAGACTTTGGCTCCCCAGCATACCAGCCAGTCATCCTTCTGGATCGGGCAGTGCCCATGTATGAGCGCATGGCATTCTATTCCATTGGCGATGTTTTGGTCCTGACTGCAACACGGGATGGCATGAATCTGGCACCGTATGAATACGTGGTCTGCAGGCAGGGGGCGCTATGGGAGGAGGATGCTCCCAAGACCTCTGGTTTAATTGTGTCAGGTTGAGTTGTTTCTGTCCACATTGCACTGGGCTCTGTATGGAGACTCACATCTGTTGACCAATGCGTTCACAATTAAAAATAGGTGGTGTTCTATGTTCTGCTGCATTTATAGATTGTCACCTCATCGGATGTCCCCGATGCAAGCAATTTTCAGAGTCTAGTTGTTGCTGTTTTGCTTTGTCCGTTGTAGCTTATGTTTTGGCTATTGTAATGTATTGCTCATGCAATGGTAGACAGCAGGATTGCTCTGTCATGTGTATATATTGGGCTGCACTTGCTGTGTTGAACATGCCATGCAGAGAGAATGAGCAGAAGCTTACATGTGACTTGGTGACTTTGCATTTGGCACATCAAAAAACGCTGCCTTTTTGACTGTACAGTATGTGAATGATGTGTCACTTGTGAAAGAACACACCCAAAGTCTTGGGAGCATTCTCAGCATCGTTTTGACGGTTTGGGGGGGACAGCCCCTAACCTTTCTTTTGGCTACAGTAGCCGCTCTCAACTTCCCACTGCGCTGCTTCAGGCTTGTTTGTTGTATTGTCTTGTCATCCAGTTCATGAGCACAGCACACAGCATGGTTCATATCAGTATCAGGATATCCAACGGCCCAGCACCAACCATTTCTAAAACCAAGGGCGAGCTGGAACACCTCAATTTCGCAACACAAGGACAGGAAGCGAAGCTCGCTTGCAAAGCAGAAAACCGAATTTCAAAAAAACAAGCTTGCACACACTTGCAAAGATTGCAATACTTGATTTGTTAACGAGATCAAATGAACTTGTCTGTGGGGAACAACAATGGAGGGATTGCTTTTGCACATTGTGTTTCCTCTTTCAGCTTTGCGAAACTTGGAAGGGTGGGTGGGTGGGGTGGGGTGGGGTGGGGGGGGTTGGGGGGGGCAGGGCAAATATAAACATTTGCAACTTTCAAATCTTATACTCCGCAATCTTGTGCTGCTGCCAGAATTCGTCGGCTGTTCACCCTCACTGTCTGGTGCCATCCGTGTGAACCCATGGGGCATAGACAGTGTGGCAGATGGAATCTACTCAGCGCTGACCATGCCCCTGGACGATCTGCAGTTTCGGCATGAGAAGCACTGGCGCTATGTGTCACAACACACTGTCGCCTTCTGGGCACAGTCGAACACAGCTGAGCTGGAGAGGATCACTAAGGATCACCACACCATGAAGTGCTACAAGCTGGGCTTGGGACTGAATGCGTTTCGGGTGGTTGCCTTGGACAAGAACTTCAGAAAGCTGGATGCCTCCCAGTTGATGGGGGCCTACAACAAGTGGGTTAGTGATACCATGATCAAATTTCTAACAAGTTCATGCACAATGGCATTTACGTGCACATGTGCATGACTTAAGGCAAGAATTTGGAATAGAATCAAATGGGAACATGGACAAGTACATGTGTCCAAACTGCAGTGCTTGGGGATTTTAGGTGAGCAGGTACTCGAACCCCGCTAGAACGGACCCTTGGAGAAGCAAAAGCTCAGGGTATCATCTAACGGATGGAAGGGCAGTGCTTTGTCGTGTAGAACACATGTTATCAAAGTGGATTTCATTAAGCACTGTGCAATCCTTTTTAGGCAATCGTTGCAATTGTGACGTCATGTGTGAAATAGCAATGGGCAAGCATGTGTGCATGCACGTCTGCTCCCTTCAGTTGGCATTTGTGTCCTTGTGCAGTTTATGTGTCGTGCAACCTGGTGAAAGCATTGCGAAAAAAGTATGCGCCGGCGATGTTGTGGAAACAACAGCAGTGTCCGTGCAGTGGCTAGTGCTACATAGTTCCAAGAGCGTTTCCTGTTCTGTCTACACTTTATCAAACCTGCATATCGTACTATTGCCAGTGACAAATTGCCGTGAGTGGGGTTGATTATTCGATTGAGATGGTGGGGTGGTGTGCCAGTCCTTCGACTGCAAGTAACGACTTCCAGGGTGCGTGCCAAGGTGCCTACAAAGTGTAAAATGCCTCCCTCTTGTGCGATTTCATGCCTCTGATTGTTCCTGGCACTTGACTGAGCGCATGCATCCTGTGCAGATCGAGTCGGCGTGTGTTCCTTCTGGACTATGACGGAACTCTCATTCCGGCCACCAGCCTGAAACCCAATCCCCCAAACAAGGTGTTGACGGTGCTCAATGCACTCTGCGGCGACAAGAAGAATTTGGTGTATTTGATAAGTGGTCGATCGAAGGAGCACCTGGTGGAATGGTTTAAGTCTGTGGTGAGTGGCTAGTTGGGCTTTAGGAAAATTGCGGCAGCAGGAGTAGTTCTTTGAGTGCATGGTCCACAATGTTGTGTAAATGCTTGGCTGATTGTGCCAGAATGCAGTACTTGCAAAGCGATGTTGGTCGCTTGCCGGCATGTAGATTGTCCAATATGCGCACCACAGATGCCAAGGTCCAATTAAATTCACGGCAAAACACTGTGAATCATTTCCACAGTGTTGTATATGCTGGGACGAAGCTATGGGTCTTTAAATGCCTGGCTGTGCATTGGTAAAGGAAAACAAATGCGATGTACTGGTGCAATTGGAGTTGGGCCTTTTAGTAGCAGAGAGCTCAATTGACGACAATGTAGAGTTGAGGACTGTTTGCTTGGAGACCACTGCAGCACGCTGGCGTTTCTGTTCAAATACGTTTGTTCTCATGCATCAGGCCAATCTAGGCATGGCTGCCGAGCATGGCTACTTCTTCCAACAGATAGGCTCCAATGTTTGGGACGTCGCGCAAGGAACAGATGACTTCAGCTGGAAGCAATTGGCCATGGAAGCTATCAAGCACTACACAGAATCAACTGATGGGAGTGTGCTCGAGGAAAAGCAGAGTGCGTTGGTTTGGCACTATCGGCATGCAGATCCAGACTTCGGAAACTGGCAGGTATGCTACCCGGTTGCTGGTCTTGATGTTTCAGAAACATTCAGGACCTCTTCACTCGATTCTGCGTTGCGATTGGACTATGAAGTTCAGTGCCCTTGGTCGTGCATCTATGCAACATCTTCAGATGTTTTACACAGGTAAACTTGCCTGTGCTCCAATTTGAGCATGCACGGCTGTGCCCTGAGTGTGACAAATGTATGGGCGTCCTTCGGGATTTCAGCTGTCCTTTTCATTGATTCATTACTCAGCTGGGCTGATTTACCACGAGTACTTCACTAGTTGTCCTGCAGGACGTCTCGTTCACCTCCTGGGCTCATTTAGCACCCTTACCCCTAAGTACACAAGGACTGCGTGTGCAAAGTTCAAGGGCCTGCGTGGTCCATGCCCTGAGCTGACTTACGGACTTCTCCCGTGGCACCCTTCGCATCTAATCACTTCTCTCATACATGCAATTTGAATATGATTGAAGAGTGATCAACCTTGCCCTGCCTTGCCACACTGTGGTGGGGATGTGTTGACTTGGTAGTTTGTCCCAAAGGCAAAAGAGCTGAAGAACCACCTGGAGGAGATCCTGAGCAACAAGCCTGTGGAGGTCGTGAATGGTCACTTTATTGTGGAGATCAAGCCACAGGGCGTCAGCAAAGGCCAGATGGTGGAGCGCATATTGGTCGAGGCCACAGCCAATGGAGGCCCGCCAGACCTGGTGCTCTGCATTGGTGACGATCGGTCAGATGAGGATATGTTCACGGCCCTGGAACAGGTCGCTTTTTCACCTCACATGCCTGCCGAGGTAAGGAGGGGCCTTTTCTGCAGTTTTCGCTGGATGATGACAACACCGGCCTCCTGCCCTGAGCGAGAGCTTGTTTCATCTGGGAGTTCTGTCTCTTCCATGGCCTTCCCATCCACGTGCAAGTTTCCTGTCAATCTGCAATTCTTTCTGTGGATCCATGATGCCCATGATATATTGCGAATCAACGATTTACTATGTCCTTGTCTTGATTGTGGTGTTTTATTTGTTGAGTAATTTGTGGCATCCAAGATGTGATCTATTTTAGAACAGATGGTGACAGATCTGCCACCATATCCCGATGCCTCTTCCATTGTTGTGTCGTTGGGTATGTGATTCCAGGGAGCTGTGTGTAGTGCTCTTGTCCTCACATATGCTGTGTTCCAAGTGCTTAACACGCATTTCCTTGCAAGACTCGGGCGCAGTGGAGATATTGTCCCAGATCCATTTGCAGCCATTGTGTGTTGAAATCCGTACGTGGCGAAGTCACAGGACATTTCCTTCGTTTCGAGAGCCGGTTTTCGCCTGCCAGATGTGCATGAGTCATGGAAGCGCTTGAATCGTTCATGGCCGTTGTTAAATTGCGTTGCCCAATTGTAAGGGTTCCCATTGGTCGAACAAAACATGTCTCAACCCTTCATGAGATGTACACCTGTCGGCTCCATGTCTGGCACGATGTATGCGGTGGCTTTGTGGGTGTAACATGCACTAACAAACACATCGCTTCACCCATGTAGGCTTTCCTCTGGTAAGCCTGTGCTTGCTCCTTGGGCAGGTGTTCGCCTGCACTGTGGGCCAGAAGCCCAGCAAGGCCCAATTCTATGTGGACGATATCGCAGACGTTGTGGCGATGTTGGAGAAGCTAGTCAGCGTTCCATGAGCCCCCAGCTTTACCGTGCGCCAGCTTTGAGACCTGCATTCACCAGCCTCGACGGCTTCAACAATATGGTTAGAGGTCCCGTTCCAAGGCTCAAGACACACCCATGATACGAGTGCATGAATTGCAATATGTACAACAATGCAGTCTCTTTGTGCCGGACCTCTGTCTGCCTGTGTGAGCAACGGCATCAGTATGCATATGAGCGAGACGGACACCTCGCTTTGAACATCTCGCTTGCCGCAATGTCTTGGATAATCCGCGGCTGGGAGTAGGTCCCTTTGAACCGAAAATAGGATTTTGTATTTTTTGGTGCTGTTTCGGTTCTCAAGTGCGTCTAACTTGAGCAACAAGGGGACAAACTTAGTTTTGCACCCCAATTTGTTGGCTGCTTTTCAGCTAGAGATCGTTGAATGTGGCTATCAAGGGCGTTTGGGGATGGAGAGGGCATCAATTTGGCCCTTTGTTTATTGCCGGCATTGGTGACTTCCTTGTTTCAACATGGAAGGGTTAGAGCACCAACGGGGAGGGGGACCATGGCATCGCCGATGTCAGATTTTTAGATGGAAGTGGAGAGCCGTTGTGTCCAAGACTGGGCTGCAGTTTGGTGATCATGTTGGCTTGATAGTGTAGAATTTGGTGCATGAGGTGGTGTGTTGTACTTGACCCTATGTTTCCACTTTTGCAGGATTCCTAGGCCCTTAGTTGCCCACGCTGGTGCATTCACCTTTCTAGATGTGTTCCGTCCCATTCCCATAATTTCTCCAACACCTACTGGCAACAAATAAGCATTACAATACCCTCTGAAGAGTGTTGCCATCATGGTCATTGTGAGACATGTTGGCAGTCGCTTTCCTGATGCTGAATTATGTCTTCAACACGCTTGTTTCAATGAATGGCCGTGCTAACCTCACCCTTGATTAAGGGTGTCTTCTTGGTTGGCGTCAATGCACATGGCCTTATGAAACCTTGGCACATCTCCTAGGGCGATGCTCTCGCACTAATCCAGCTGGTTCTGAGCATTCTGCCACAATTCACCCAATATACATGCCAAAGCCTTGCAATTCCCGAATTTTTGCCCGTAGAAGCGTGCTCAGAATCGGGCTGTATCTCCAATGTGTACTAACCACAATGTATGCCCTCTATTGTAGCTAGCCCCCCCCCCCACCCACCCCACCCACCCACCCACCTGCACTCCCCACCCCACCCCGTGTGCCCCTCCTACCAGCAACCAACAACATTATTGTGCAAAGATCATGGCCTCGCTATCATAGCGACGCTATGGTCAGACCTCTCTGGAGGGTAGCAGTGAAGTTCCGACTTGATTCGGTCGAGCGGGGAGCCCGTCTTCGCCGGGAAGCCGAGCTATACCTCCCGCGCGGTTGTCGGTGGCAAGGGCATGGTTTGCGCGCGTTCATGAGGTCGACTATTGTGATGGGTTGGGCGAGGAATCATCAATGGAGGATTGGGGGGCCTCACGCCAATTGGATGTCTTCTAGTGTCTCAAGGACAATTGGACTTTCGACGATGACGAGGGTGATTTTTGGGTGCCGCGGGATCCGCAAGACATTTTTTATGTCTGCAAAGCATCCCCGCTGGACGATGGCTTAGCCAAAGGTGAACACTGCTATCAAACCTTTGTTGTCCCTTAGGTATGCTGCACTGTACATAAGAACCCCAAGAAGTCCTTGCATGTCTGTGTCAATCTTGAGGGGACCAAGATTATGGCTCTAGTAGATACGGATGCTACATCTTGTTTCGTGCGGCACACTTTGGTAAAAAAGCTCGGATTGTAAAACCGTGTGCAGCCATGCCAACACCAAGTCTAGTACAGCAATGGCAAAGAGGAGCCCATGGTCGGAGCCGTTACCCTCCCAGTGATGGTCCAAGGTGCACATATGCCTATGAAAGCATATGTTTTGGATGGCAAAGGCCCTCCACTCATCATGGGCTTCAAGTTTCCTAAGCCCAACCAGTTGTTAGTCGATTGCACCGAGTGCACCCTCATTCAGAAGATTGGTGGCAATCACGTCAAGTGTCTTCCAGTTCAAAATGCTTGTCAGCCTACCCATCTACAAGAAGATAGTCTCATGGTTCAGCGGTTTCCAGTGGAGGGTTGTTTGCCACCACTCCCCAAGAAACATTTTTCGGGTGATGCAACATACGATTTTTTTGCGCCTAAAGAGCTCCATCTTCGCCCCGGTGAATGCACAACTATTGCCACTGCAATCGCTTGCCATTTCCCTCAGCAAACTTGGTGCTTGCTGAAAAAGCGATCGGGCCTTGCTCACCGCTATGGCATCCAACTCTTGGGCGGGGTTGTTAACAGGAAGTATCATGGTCGCCTCAAGGATATTCTACTAAACACCGGTCAGGAAGTGGTCACTATTCCTCACCACGTTGCTTTTTGCCAGGGTGTGTTATTCCCTTGTATATCCCATTCTGTTATTCCCGGGATGGTTACTATTGAAGGTGAACAGTGGGCTAAGGGTGGGGTTATGTCGGGAAACGGGTGGCAACGTAGTCTGGGGCCGGTTGTGGGCCGCAGCTAACTTCTTTTCAGTCATTTGATATGGGAGTAGCTGGGCAAGAGAGTGGCTCTTTTAGATTTTGTTGAACGCCCTCTTTGCCCTCCTTATCATAAAAATGATCTTTTGTTTCTACCATTGAATCACAATGCAGTTTTGGGGCCTTATGAAACTTGAAGGATTAATATCTAGTGCAAGTTTCTTGTGGGGTCTTTGCAGTAATGTTTTGTGATGCTGCCCAGCTGTCAGATTACTTTCATTGTCAAAATTAATGGTGTGCAAATCTGGGGCGTTCTCAAGAATTTCTCTGCCAAGCCACAACAATTGATGACTTGCTTGATTTATTGGTATGCCGTACATAGGTTTAGTGGTTTCGGATTCCCGATAAGGGGGTGCTTTTGATCCCTGAGGATCGCAAGGGTTGGGGGTTTTGTCAAGTAGTTCAGACGCTTCATGAAGATATTGTTCATACACCGGCTGCACGACCTAGGTGGTTGATTACTTTACGTCACAAACATGATATTGTTTTTGCAGATGGTCTTGGCACTTGTTGCACTTATATTGTCCACAACTTCCCTTTTTATTTTCCTCTCCCTTGGAAAATGCAACCTTCTAGCCGTATAATGGGGCCAACCGAGGAGGCCAAGGTGTTGGAGGAGGTTTTGAAATTGGTGAAGTTAGGGGCTGTCCGCGAGGTTAACCATGAACCATACATAATTCTGGCATTTGGGGTGCATCCAAAAAATGGCTCAACTTATCTCATGCTGGATTTTTTGAAATTCAACTCTTGTGTCTAGCACCAGCCTTTTCTTCTTGTCCATTGTGAGATATCTTTAACAACCTTACATCCAATTCTACATTGGATCAGCGCTCAACTTGTCCAATGCTTATTTGCAAATCTGGCTTGCCCCATGTTTGTGGCGTGTTGTTGGGTTAATAGTGGCGGGGAGATTTTTTGAGTACATGCAACTGCCTTTTGGGTACTCCAATAGTTCCCACGAGTTTTTGAGAGCATTACGATTGACAGTTCACTGGGTGTCTTGTTGTATTCAGTTGTAGATCTTTATATAAGTGGCATTTTTTATTATCCCAATCTAAAGCCTAGCATCAGCAGGATTTAGCCATTTTATTGAAGGAGCTTGAACGGGATGGATGGCGGGTCAATTGGGACAATTACCAATTCTGCCAAGATTGCTTTGAGTATTTGGGGGTGGCATTTACATCTTTTGGTTTGGAATCGACTGTCACAGTGTTGACTCCGTTTGAGCAAGCTCCTATGCCTACCACCTAATCTAGTTAGCGTTAGATTCGTGGCTGGTTGAACCACTCTGCTCGGTTCATTTGGCGGGGCCATCAGGTGTTGGCAGCCTTGCGTGACGTCCAAGCACATCCTTCATCGGCTCGGTGGCAACAGTTTCTTTCCTTGTTGTACTGCCATTTTGTTGGATGTGCTATTTTTTTGGCGCCATCATCTAGGTCTTTCACAGTCATCACCGACGTGGGTAAGCTTGGTTGGAGGGTTATGTTATTGGCTGGGCATTGGATCATTTGTTGTGCACACCGCTTGTGGTCAACAGTTTTAGCACCGTATGAGCAATGTCTTGGAGTTGGAAGCGCTTTGTAGAGCCCTTCAGACTTTCTGACCATGGATTTTTGGTGCACATGTTTGAGCTATTATGGATAACCAAGCTGCCATGAGCTTCAACAAACTAGAACACTTGAATGACTTCTCAAGAGGTGCCCCAACCATCTTTCTTGGTACTCTCCGCAGATTTCATTTTGTCCAGGACCATTTAATTATTTGGCAGACTTTTTTGTCTAGACAGGGGGCTTGGATTTTGGGACTGTCTTATCTTCGCACAATGGAAGGACATCGCTCGTTGGTTGTTACTCAGGCATAATAGAAGCAAGCCTATGCAGGGTATTTTGGAGTCAAAAGATGTATCTTTGCTTTTGTCAGATAGGTCTATGTTCAACATAGCAGTGAGTGACAGGTACAATGCGATCATACAGGTGTGTCAGTAACTGACAACTATGGATGGAACAACTATTGTTCCATCCACTGCAACCATCTAACCCGTTTGGTTATTGGCATGTGCCGGAGAAGCCTAGCCAAGTCATTGGCTTGGATTTCATGGGAACTTTCCTTGAGAGGAAGGTGGGAAAGAAGCAATTTGTTCTTGTCATCGTGGACACGCTGACTAGACGGGTGAGCACGTGGGCTGTCATGGGTGCAGGGGGGGCAGACATAGTGCGGGGGTTAAAAAGTTGGGCACAAACATAAGCGACACCTTCAATCTTGTGTTTTGACATCTGCAAAACTACGCAATCCCAGGAATTACAGAGGTGGTGCGCACAGGAGGGAGTGACATAGAAGTCCTTCCCTCCTTACCACCATGCATCCATTGGGTTTGTAGAGAGGTTCAATCATACACTTTTGAACCGTTTGAGGCACATGTGGGCAAAAATACCCAA